GGTTATGGTTTTGTATGGGTTGTCTGCGACAAATATTCAGCCTTTCATTTAGAGGGCTTGGACTGTCACTCTTACGGAAAGACAAATCTTTTCTCAGTGTAGATACGTTCATAAAAAGCAACTTGATTTTTCTTAGCCTCTAAGCTCTGATACAGTATAGCACTGGATTGCTGTCAACTCCATGAACATAGGTCAGTGTCAACCTAGGAAGGAAGCACACTGAATGCAAAGAAACACTTAAGGGTGTTGTCCTTTCTGCTTTGCATAAGCCATTACTGCAGTTTTAAAAGCTAAGATTGTCTCGTCTTTGAGATAGCATCCAGATGGTTGATTGCTAGTGAGACTGGACTTGTCAGGCTTCCTTACCCTCTACCCCCCAGTGAACATTTCACAGGACTAAACTGCTGCCTTGCCCCCTCTGGCTGGTAGCAGGCTCTGTAACTGTGCAGCAGGCTGGTTTTTAAGTATACTGAATTAGATTAAAAAGCAGGTGCTGTTTTTTAACTCATGGTCCAAATTAGAGACAGAAGGTGCTGCGTGGGAACCAAAGGGTCTCATAATGCATTTGTGCCTTATTTCTTCCTTTTTGGAAGACTGTGTGAAAGAGACTTATGAGCAATGAAAACCAAAACGTCCCCGTTGAAATGGTAGAGAGGCAATGCACAGAAATGTGAAAGTAATAATTTTTTCTTAATAATAGCACTATTTGCTGATCAGCTGTTAATAATTTCTTTCTTAGAAAAATGACTCAAACTTTCCAGGGAAAGCAGGTAGCCTTTGAAATGCCCACTGTGCTCAAAACCTGCTGATGTGTGTTCTGAATTCTTCCTGTTTCTGCTGACTTAATTGCAGTACTTGCGAATGTTCCCAAAAGCATTTAAAAATGAGCTGAGTTAAAAGAAATGATTGTGTATTGCAATAAAGATAACAGAAGATGTGAAATTTCCTTCTGCTCTTGTTCAGATGTTTGCTTGAGGCTGGGAGAAGCTGTACTATTTTAGCACATACTTAAGCAATGAGACTTGTTAATAATGTTTAAAATAGAACCTTTATAACTCTTTGTAAATGCTACATGGGAGGGAGAGGAATTGAATAGTTAAACTTGACAATAAGAATCTGAATCAAAGACTTCTTCAAAACAGAGTTAGACAACTACAGCGAGACCTTTGACTGCAATGCTCTTTTTTCCAAATTGCTCCACTAATTAAATAATGAAGCTTAAAAAAAGACAATGATGTTCTACTATTGCTGGGAACTAATAAGGCTTTAAAGAAGAGGTCTAGTAACTGTTATTTGGCTCAGTTTATAAGCTTGCCTGTTATTGAGAACCTTCAGATTGCCTTCAGTTCTGCACACAAGGGACAGAAGCTTTTGAAAGCAGTCAGTGAACTATTTTTTCTGTCTTAAGAAAAAGTGCTTCAGGTACTGATTTTACCGTATTGTTCTTTGATAGCACATGATGGAGAAGGAAGCTGCCTTTTCCTTGTTAGTAGGACGGCAGTATGTTTTGAACTTGATTGCATGGCATAGCTTCCATCAAAAATGCTTCAAATATGCCAAGATCCAAGGAACTTGCTAATCTGAGCTCTTAAAATACTTATATCTTGGAAGGATATAGTGCTTTAAATAGCTGGGTCCTAAACCTGAAAAAAGAAATTGCCAAACCATGACAATTACTCTGTTATGAAAGTCAATGTGGTTCAGAGTATATATACTTTCATCTGCTTGTGTTCTTCATTAAGCAATTGGGTTGCAGTATTCTATACTCCCTCTTCCCTTCTGATCTTGCAAAGTCAACACCAGAGTCATTTGAGAAGATGAGAGAATAGGGTTTATACTTATGACTCTTGTGTATTGCTGATGGATTGTACACTAACAAGCAGCTGCAGTTCAATCTCTTGGACTCCTGGAAACTCTAGTCTTGGAGACTGGTTGGGGTTTTTTCACTTACGATAAAGTTCATGTGAAAGCTACTTTCTGATGCCTTTTGGTGTATCTGTATCTCTGAGAGAGGCAACTAATGATATTAATGCTATTAAATACTGTAGCAAGTCATCAGTTATGTAGATCTCAGCCACTAGAGGAACACTGACTAAAATGGATTCAGCTTATTTAGTGTCCCCTTCTGTGAATCATAATAGTATCTGGTAATGGTATCCAGCATCAGCTGTTCCTTTAATCAGTCACCTGGAAACAGCTGGCTTGTCATGAGTTGGCATGTTCTTGTTGCTAAGTAATGTAAAGCCCCCCTGGTTTATTCACCAATTATTTCTTTTCCTTCCAGATCTCATGCAGAAGACCAACTGAAAATCAAATCCTAAGAGCTTGTAGAAACTTTTCTTAAGCAGCTGAAAAGTGTTTAAAAACCTAAAGCTGTCACTATACTTTTTCCTGTAATTTTTTTTCTTGCCTCTCCTAAGGAAGGAAGGTATTTGATCTGCATCTCTCTGCCATGATGGGATGGGAGGAAGCTTCTCTCTTGATTACCATTGTATTGGGAAAATAGTATAACAGGAGGTATTTATTTCCCCTGTTTATAAATACAGAAGACTTATTCCTCTGCTGCTCAAGCCATAGTTGGAAGGCCACAGTGGATAGACAGACATGGCTGAATATCTACTTTTCCTTCCAGTCATATTGCTTCCAAAGGGGGGGGGGGGGGGGCGCCCC